GGGGGGGGGGGGGGGCGTACTCTTATGCCTTTCATGCCTTAGCGGTTAGACTACAGACCACGCGTCCTCGGCGGGCAGGGGGGAGGAGGGGGTACTCATGTAAACGCATGCCGTAGGCGTTAGGCCATTGACCTCGCATCCCTACAATGCCGACAAGGAGCGATTTGCCGGTCCAGCTATGTTTCACAAAGATGAACCCCGGGGAGGGGGGGGGGGGCTTACTCTTATGTTTTGCATGTCTTAGCGGTTAGACCATTGACCACGCGTCCTCGAGAGGACGGAGCATTGTTCCCACAGGACCGATCACCGATGGCCAATCGTTCCTTCCTACTTTGCCAAAGGTGGCTCAAAAATGTCTTCCCTGGTCTGTCTATCCTAACGATATCCCTTCCCGCCTTTTCAAACCACTTCCTACTCCCCAGTACAGCTACCGTCCTCTCCTCTCTATTCCATGCCTCGAACATCTCCCTGTACGTCCCTTGTATTTTTCCCAGCTCAGTCATGTACACTTCCCTCTCCTCTTCGTACCACGGACATTCCGCGACTACATGAACACGGTCTTCGGGGGGGGGGTAAGGGTCGCGTCATGCTGATGCCGCTCTGCCGCCCCGCGACGATATTGTTGGCCCAAAAAATTGAGTATGCGCGTATAAAAGCGGTGGTTGATATCGATCCCTCCGAACCCTCGTCGTAGGTGGGTTCTGCTTCCTTCTTGTCATGAACGCGTATTCTTGCCTCAGAATCAAGGCAAACAAACATCCAAAACCCATTCGCTCCCAACTGCATCCCAACGTCGTACGGGTGGCACAATCACCCTCCGAATACGGATTTCGCCAGAGCTGGCTACCCGAGGGAGGCAAATGGCGAAACGCGGTGATGTGTTTCCGTTAGGGCGTTAATCCGGCGGTCGCCACGTAAACAGTTGGCAAAATTTTGCGCCTGGAACAGAAGTGTTACTTGAGGGGCGATGTTCGCTGGAGCGACGCCCTACTAAGTACTCAGGGTCTTCCAACTCGTGGTGTTGTAGACACTCAGCGCGATCGGTGTCCCTTTACCGTACCGTGGACATTCCGCGTACACAGTACGTGACAGAAAAAATCGCACCCCGTAGACCACAAAAGGGAATGCTCCCCCTCGACCTTTTTTCTAATCATCCCAGGATGTCGTGGGGGTTCTTTTTGTTTGTTGGTTTACGGGCGTGTTTCGCGTGCGTAGACGTAGTATCGGATGGGTGTGTAATGTGTAATTTGCTTGTGCGTATGCATACGGCGGGGTCTCCGCAAGATTAAATTGGGTCGACATTGCTCACGGAAAATGCTGCCAAAAGAAAAAAAGCATCGTGGGCACGATATGGCATATAGCGATTGTGGAACCGGCAACCCGGGGTGCAGAGGTGTCACGCGATTTTTCTCACCGCTAACAGAGGGCGTGTCACTCAATAAACAGGGAACCGCAAAACCGGGGTCCCCGCCGCATTTCCAGTTTCCAGTACAGTATTGTACATGTCAATTTTTCACCATCTCGTGCCCTTCCAAGCATCCGGTACATTAGGCTCTCCGGCTCTTGCTTGTTTCGCATGTTCTACTCCGGCGTATACTTTCCACGTGTGCCAGAGAGTAAATATTGTACAGCAGAGCTTTGCGTTCATTGTGGCGGTAATTATTCTACCATGCATCGCATGGGAAGGCCACGTTCGACCAGGCTCAACACCTAACGGGCAAAGTAGCGCGTCAACCTGGCCAGAGAAAACCTAACGGGCAAGTTGTGGACTACAAACAAAAACAGGCACGAAGGGCAGAATAAGCGAAAACAAAACGGCCTTCCCATGTTGGTCCAGTGCACATATGTTGGGTGCGCTTCTGGTGCGCAATCAAAAGGGCCTAAACGCAGAACCTTGTCGACCCTGCTTTCGTGGCACGCGCTGCCGCCCATTCTGAATGTGCTGACGTATGTACGCGTACGTCGAGTTGCACGGAACAATTCAAACGAATTTCCTCATAAATGCACAAAAGCCGAAAACTGCTGTAGAGACGGCATCATCATCGGTTAAGGAATAATAAAAGCACACACAGAAAGACTACCCATTCGAGATATACCCGCAGTCGAACGGGATGTGGTGGAGTCTTTTCAGTGAGTGGAGGGCAACCGGCTGGGTACTGGACTCATCGGTTGTACCAGACTCTGTTGCGTGTTGTATCAGGCACCTTTCTGTGCGAGCCCCACCCCATTGGCAGAATCGCACAAGACAAACGTCACCAACCAGTCAGTGTGTATGGACAAGGGGCGTGGAGGAACATACAAAAGGCCGGGGGGGAGCTGGCAAACAAAGAAGCTGCGAACTGACGCTGGTTGTGTTTGTGGACGAAGACGCAGCAGACAGGAGGAGGGCAAGAAGATTAGATCAAAGATTCGCTGTAATAATTCAAAAGCACACGTTAGCGGTAAGCACGCTACTTTTTGCGAGGCAAGAGAGGAGGGCCAGGAGCAACGAATACCTCCACCCCGCCAGCAAACCTGTTCTCAATGGAGCGTCCACCTCGCGGCTTCAAAGCCTGGGGATGCAAGATGGCGGCAATGGGCAGAGGCGGCAACAAACGAAAAACAACAAGAAGATTGCCTTCGATTTCCGATGTAATCCAATCCTTCCTCTTGGTGTGCGTCTCACCCCACTAGCTTGAAGTTGTGGGAGCAGAACGACTCGTCGAACAGCGCAGAGAAGTACTCCGCGAGAGCGCCTGCCCTCTTCTCCTCCTGGGATCTGGCCGACTCCTTCGCCTTCCGCTTTTCCCTCCCGGTCGCTGCGTTTGCTGTTGCTGTTGCTGCCGAAGCCGGTGCTGCTGCTCCCGACGTTGCCGGTGATGCTGTTGCTGCTGCTGCTGTTGCTGAAGGGCCGCCGCTGCCGTCACTATTGTTGAGTGAAATAAACACCCTCGATACGTCGTTCTCGTAGTCGAAGTCCATCGGCAGCGCTGGCACGTCCTCAGGTGGAGCCTCTGCTGCGCCGTCCATGCTTGGCGCCTATCCAGATTTGCGAAAAACAGCTTGCGGCCTGCGTTGCGAGAGAGAGGCCGTCCGTTGGGAGGTACACAGGGCTGATGGCTGGTGGCGGTGGAAATCCTCAAAGTACTTTCCCTCTGGTACCCGATTTACTTGCTCACGTGGGAACACTCGTGCGAGCACACCTCTTGTCTCACAGTTCACAAGTAGCACACGTCACACGGTGGTATATGTTGCTTGAAGTGGTCTTGAAGGGGGCTCCCAGGGGAGAGGAATAGAGGCAGCCGAACCAAGAGCGAAAGAGCGAGTTTGGTTGCTCGGTTCGGGGAGATCTGTCTGTCGTCTGTCGTTCGTATCGTAGAGCTTCAAGGGGAGCGGCGTAAAAACACAGAAATTCCGAAGATTACGGAGATCGTCAATTTGTTGGCCAATGAAATGCTCACATTTGCTATTGGTGTTCTTGGCGACCGCGTCGTCGTGTTGTCAGCGTCGACGATGAGCTGGTCGTCCAGAGGCATGGTTGGAACGACAAGGAGACGTGTTCCTGTGTGAGGAACACGCAGCATCGCAGTCTTCGTGTGTGTACCACTACTTATGTTGTGATCCGACTGCACCCGTCCGGCCTACTGCTGTATTAGAAAATGCATCGACCGCCCTACTACATACCGGTACATACGGGGTTCGGAGAAATCAATCAACAGACGTAGATGTATGTGGACGTATGTTGTGCAGAGGGAAGGATATCTGCAGTTGTAGTGCAGTAGGTCGGATAGCAGCGCGTCAGCAAGGGAACAACGTCACATAAGGAGTGGGGGTTACATGCTATGACAGCAAGGGGAAGGCGACGTCAGGAAAGGAACGTGTGTGTGACCACGGTCGACGAAAAGGTCGACGAAACTGCAGGTTACGGCGAGAGAGAGTGTATTTACCCCGTTGCTGAAAACCTCCAAGAGAAAGACGAGAAAAAAACGTCTGTGGTTTCTGAAAGTTGAAAGTTCCGAACGCCTCGCAAGAAGCGACGGAGGGGCGGGGGGTGGGGGGAAGTGGGGGAGGGAGCGTCCCCAGACACACTTGCATGCCAGTGACCATCACTGGTGAGCCTGTTGCCTCCGAACACATATACTTTTGTCTAGGTAAGTGGGGCTGCTTCGCCGGACCAAGAAGAAGGTAGTCTTGACTTGAGACGATGGCCTTTGGTGTCAGCCGTCGACAGCCACCACCAGCATAGCCTATACTACTCGGCTCGGGGGGGGGTCTACCTGGAAAAATTGTACCTCCTTTGTAAGTACAGGCTAAAGCGTACCGCGTGCAGGTAACAAAAACACAAATTTTGATCGGCCGGGCAGCCCAAAAAAGCATGAAGAGGATCATCAGCAGCAAAAAAAACGGGGGGAGACGGGCCGAAATCTGCGCGTCATTTTGGTATTTTTACTCAATACACCCCCAATGCACGGCGGTTCGACACATAAATCCCTCAACAAAAAAAACAAAAAGACGTCTCGTGCTACACCCTGCAGCTATTGCTGTCCGTACGTTTCCAGACAGATGGCCATGAAGACAACGGCCCGAAGGCTTGTCGGGCCAATTTTGGAAGGCTGAAGAGACCCTCAATTAAAGTCAAACGGCGTCTTCTCTTGGCGCTTACGCCGGGTTCCGTCCCGTCGCCGATAGCGTACAAGTCTTTCTAAGCTCATGACCCGCCCATATCCGCATACATTGCCCTCGCAGCCACCACGCCCCGCTCGAAACACGCTACTTGGGGGTTTCCCACCAAAACTACCACAACCCCCCCGTAATCACCCACAAGATGGTGAGCTTACACGCGACCATAACGTCCTGTGAACACCACGATGCCGCGCGACCACAGCCTTCCATCCTACAGAAGAACGGTCATGACGGTACGACCACATAGGATTGCCTGAGTAGAGGACCACTGAACCAAGATGAGAAGGACGACGGCAGGACCAGAAGAAAAAAAAAACATGGGGTACAGCCGACACCGCCTTTTCCGTTCATGCCCCAGATGCCGTTGCTTCCTTCCGCTGTTGTTTCCGTTCCCATCTCCCTTTGCCACACGTAAACTGCCGGTCGCTATGGTCCTATTCTTCTATCTCCGGCATGGAAGGCCTCGGTTCCGTGGTGGGGGCGCCAAAGAGCTTGAGGTTGCGCATTTGCACCTGGCGATACCGAACCGAAGCGACAGGCGAGAACGGAAAGAAGAACGCGCGACGCAAACACGACCAAGGGCAACCAAACAAAGCGGTCTCAGTTGCTATCCTCTTGCTGCTGCCGCTGCCGTTTTCTTGCGTGCAACATTGGCCTCACCCCGACCGAGCGGTTTCATCGTTTGGCATGCCGGCGTAAAGCGTTGAGCAATCCATCGTTTGGTGACAGAGAAAGAACGCGTTCCGAACCGCACCAACTCCAAGAACACAGCAGTGCAAACTCCACACAGGCACAACCACTGCTTCCACACTATTTACATCTTCAGCTTGGACGGGTATCGCGAACGCAAAGAGGCCACGAAAACCAAAAACATGTCACCACCCCAAGAGAGCAGCACCGGCACCGACACACCAGCAGCACCGAGAGAAAGAGACGGGGACAGAGTTAGAGGGGTAGGATTAGAACCGCTGAAGCTCACGTCGGGAGCGAGGTATCCCCGTCGGCCGTGGTCGAGGAAGAACGGCATCAGGCGCGGCGGCGGGCGTGCCCTCCTCGGGAGCTCCTCGAACTTCTCGGGCTTGAGCTGTAAAAGGCCAGCAGCGCAGACGCAACAGAAAAAAGAAGAAAAAAATGAGACTGAAAAGACTCTCGAAGTTCCCCTAACTTCTCGGGCTTGAGCTGTAAAAGGCCAGCAGAGCAGACGCGAAAGAACAACAAAACAAAAATGAGACAGAAATAATCTCGGAAGTCCCTCGAAATTCTCGGCCTGGGGCTAAAACCCAGCAGTGCAATCGTAAAGACGCAAAATGTGAGACCAAAACAAATCCTCACAAAAAAAAAGTTGGGATAAAAAAACAGAGACCGAAAGACCCTCCGAAGTCAAGTCACTTTCGTTCTCGAAGCGAATAGACTATAGAAGTTGCACAAGTATTTCGCGGGGGGGGTGGTGTTGAGTTTCTTCCTCATCATCCTGACCGGGGGGTCGTCCTTGGCACCCCACGATCACCCTGTCTACAATCAAAAAGTCTGAAATCAAATCTCAAGCCACCTAGTCCCAGGCGGACCAGTGCCCCGAGATATGTGGGTAATGACCACTACCGTATCTACCGTTGAAAATTGCCAAGAGCAGCAGCCAGAACAGATTTCAACACCAGAAGCAAAACAGTTCGTTTTTTGAGTAAATAGTAGCCTTCGCCTGCGATTCTTTTCTGCCCGGCTTGAAGCAGAGCGTTCCTGACAAACCGTCAACGACAACGGACCAACACACAAGAGACACGGTGACGATGACTCTCACCAGCGCCCGGAGAGCCAAGCGGTTGAAATGGGCGCAAGTCACGGTGCCCCCTTGCGCCTCGACCGCCTCTATCGCGCCCGCGGAGGCGCGGCTAACCTCCAGGTGGACGGGCGGAAGTGACTTCGCCCCCTTTGTTGCCTCCGATGCTGCCCTGGCCACCTCGTTCTCAGCCCCGGTCGCATCTCCTTCGGGGATAGGGCGGAACGCAGTTGTACGGAAAGAGTTTGGAAAGGGGATGTTGGGAGTACACACACCAGTGGTGGCCGCGGGCGGTGGGTACATCATCGCTGGTTGATACATGTACCGTAAGAGGCCGAGAGATGGATGACACACACACACACACACACCAGACCGATTTTCAAAGCTCCATTGCTCCACAACCAACATGTTTGCCAACACGAGAAAAATGGCGGTTTTGTAAGCATCTTGTCGAGGGCTTTCGGTAGAATCACCGGGCTCTTTCCGCACCGCCTTGGTAATGGAACAATCGAGCTTTGGAAATCGACCTTAGGGGGGTGTCATCTCTCCACCGCTTACGGTAGGTTCGTATCGTTGTTATTTTCTGTCTTTCGTCGTTGTCGTGTCTTTTGGCGAGCAAAATAAGAGCGCGTCTCGTGTTTCAGCCAACAACAATCCTCCCGTACTGAATTTCTGGATTCAAAATGGATTCAAGAGGAGCCACTCATTTGGATCATTTCTTGCAATTGTGCCCGAGGCTCGTCTATTTTCTCCGTAGGGTAACCCAACATCGATTGTTCCATATGGTATGTTTTAGTATACAATTCTTGCCGTGGCACATGGTCTTGTGCTCAAATTCTTCCAACTCCTCTTTTTCCGAGCCGGTACTTCTTATCTCCCAGGTTCTTAAGATGTGGCGGGTTCTATATAGATGCAGGGCAGGGAGCAAACCGGGAGCACCCGACTGTCGCGACCACGCGTCACAACACTCCAGCCAAAACAGGCACGAGGCGGCCGCGCGCGTTCAACTGGCGACACTCCAAGGCAAGACAAAGCAGCGGCGCGACCTGATACATGCGCCCACACACACACCTGTCGCTCCGGTTAGGCGGTGAGGGCTGTTGTGGCCAAGCACCGAGTTCTTCTTGGCCCCGGCGACAAGTCTCACCCCAAACTTGATGTCTTGAACGATGCCGGCGTCCTGGTAAGGTTATCCGTGGACGTGGGCGGGCGTGTTTTGGGGAGGGGGGTTCGAAGAGAACAAGACCAACAACGTGGGCACGCCACGAGTGCGGTACGTCGGACGCGACGGGGGGGGGGGGGGGGGGGGGGGAAACCCCCCTTTTCGGCCCCCCCAAAAAAAAAAAAAAAGGGGTCATTTCCCTTTAACCTTCCAAGGTATCCCCCCCAAACCCTTTCGAAACCGGGGTAAAAAAAAAAAACCCGGCTTTTTTAATTTGGAAAGGGGGGGGGAAAACCGGGGAAAAAAATTTTTACCCCCCGGGGGAAAGGGGGGGCCGGGGGCGAAGTTTTTCCCCTGGGGAAAATTATTTTTTCCC